TTTGAGGCAGTGTTTGTTGGCCAAGTGTGTGTGCTGTGTTCAGAACCAACAATGTAGAAATGTAACCAGGTTGAAACCTACCAGATCTCAAACTCATTATTTTAGTTAATTGAGACATGGTCTCACTCAATAGGTTACCCTGGACTGCCTGGAAACTCTCTATGTGGACCACGCTGACTTCAAACTCACGGAGATCCACCCGCCTCCCCCCTCCCACCCCCAGCCCCAGCTCGCCCCCTAGGTGCTGGACTTAAAGGAATGAACCACCATGTCTGGAACCATGCATTTGATTTTTAATTAAGTTTTGATCCTTATATGTTCATAAACTTTTTGCCCTTGTCTCATTTTTTTCTATCTGCTACATTGAGTTACATGAGCCCAAATGGGATCAAACCCAATTTAAGAAGTTGCTATCAAGATAGTATCCATATGGCCACAGCATTGTGTTTGTGTGTGCATACAGTCATGAAAGTGCAAGTGCATGTGTGGGTCCTGTACCTGTACAGAGAAGAAACTCATTGTTCTTTAGGCACTGCCATTTATCTGTCCTCTCTCTCTCTCTCTCTCTCTCTCTCTCTCTCTCTCTCTCTCTCTCTCTCTCACACACACACACACACACACACACACACACACACACACACACACACATTTCTAGATAGCCCAGGCTGGCCTCAGACTCACTGTGTACCCCAACACTGGACCCCATCACAGGATCCTCTTTCTTCAGCTAGTAGTCTCTTCTTCCGGTTATAGGCATGTACACCCTAGTTTAACTTCCAGGCATTGAAACATTGTTATGTTTCTAGGGTAGTTTATTTTTTTTCATTGTTTAATTTTCCCCTTAACCTATTTTTTTAACCTTCATTTTTATATTATCTGATTGCTTATATCTTAGAGAAAAACATTTTTACATGTGAGAAGCTGTCAGTCTACCATTTTTTCATATATTCAAAAAATTTATTTCATATATTCAATCAATGAAGATGTTCTTTTAATTACTTCCATGTTATATTAAAATTTGACATTGTTGTATGTCAAAACTTGATTTGAGAAAGGAAGCTGGCATGTTGGGTTTTTAACTCTGAATATCTGAGCTTTATCTAACAGGGCAGATGTGGACTGAGATTGACCTAAATTGGCTCCACTGCTACAAAATTAAGTTGCACAATAAACTTTAAGGAGGTGGTAGATCACTTTTTGTTGTATCTGTGTACCTGCTTTCACAGAAGGAACAAAATCAAGTACCAACAGAACACAGAAAGGCATAGAAAATACATGTCGTAGGCCTAGGGTAACATAAGCAATGGGCCAAGAATCCTGTCCAGGGTTACCTGAATGAACTTGGTATCAAGAACAGTTAACACCAGTGGACATGCTAAATTGAATAGGGAAAAAACCTTGCGGTCTTAACCTACCCCCAACAAAGAACTGAGGAAAGCTGGGGTTGGAAGAGGTAGTCTTTCCCCATGGAAAATCACACTAGTTTGTTGTCAGTGCTAAACTGTTAACCCTGAAAACATACACACAAGTAACATATACAGTCTGAGCAAGATGTATTTAGGAATATATATAATACCAATTAGTTTAAAAAAAAAAAAAAGAATGTGCCAGGTGATGGTAATGCAAGCCTTTAGTCCCAGAACTTGGGAGGCAGAGGCAGGCAGATCTCAATGAGTTGGAGGCCAGTCTGGTCTACAAAGTGAGTTCCAGAACAGCTAGGACTGTTGCACAGAGAAATCCTGTCTCAAAACAACAACAACAACAACAACAACAAAACAGGAGGCAGTGAGTTTGAAGGAGAGTGGGGGTGGGGTATCCTACCAGGAGTGTTTGGAGAGATGAGAGAAATGTTATAATTAAATTATAATGTCAAAATAAAAAAAAGAAAACAGGATAAAGTGGAGCAGTCCCTGCTCATCTCTAGCTGAACAGTGCCACTATTTAAATACTTTGATAGCATCTTCTCACAGAGGTAGAAAAACTACCTGGCTTTTCCTGGGAGAGGGCCCTTAAAGATACCAAACAAAGGGTTGCAGGCAGGACAAGTGATCCTTATCATGTCACACCCTAACCAGACCTAGGGATCTCTCAGACAGACCTTATCCAGTAATGTCCTGGTGAACTTCCCAACACCTACTTCAGCCAGAAACAGGAGAAAACATAATATCCCTGAGTCAACCTTCAGTGATGTCAGCTGACCTTGAGCCCCTTTCCTTAGAACACACTTTTCTCTCCCCACTAATCCCTCAAGGAGACCCGTAAAAGAACAGGTTCTGATTCTTCTTCTTCTCCTCTTCCTCCTCCTTCTTCTTCTGTGCATTGGTGTTTTGCCTGATGTAGGTCTGTGTGAGGATGCCAGATCTCCTGGTACTGGAGTTACAGTCAGTTGTGAGCTGCCGTTTTGACACTGGGAAATAAACCCAGGTCCTCTGGAAGAACAGCCAGTGCTCGTAACCACTGAGCCATCTCTCCAGCCCCCAAGAATAGAATCTTCCATTCCTAAGCAAATTGAAGCTTTTATTTGTTTAACTTAGACTCCACCATTCTGCCTAAGCCTAATGAATTTTTTTTGCCTCAAGTTTGCTTGCACTCTGTCTCTGTCTGTCTCTCCTCTCTTCTCCTCTCCTCTCCTCTTCTCTCTTTCTCTCTCTCTCTCTCTCTCTCTCTCTCTCTCTCTCTCTCTCTCTCTCTCTCTCTCTCTTTCTCTCTCTCTCTCTCCCAACAAATAAGAACTAGGCCTTCAGATTATTGGGAAATATCTGCAAATTTGAACTTGAGACCAATGAATTAAAAATATTTTGATTCAGTGGGAACCTGAAAGCTAGTCCAGCCCCGCAGGAAACAGGTAGGCTAACCGCAGATCTTTACCTCTCCCTCTGCTCTTCCAAATCTAATTTCCCAATCTCATTCCTAGCTCTGTAGCAAAATACTCACTGCAGCCTCTGTTCTCCCATTACTCCATACCCAGTCTATCACACAGGGCGTCCGCAACTTCCCTTCCCCCACTTTATCCCAGCCTGCAACTCCAGCAGGCATTCCCTGGGAAACCTAGGCCACTTTGACTAGGGAAGCAAGAGGCTAATTGCAGATCTTCACCTTCCTCTCCATTCCTCCAAATCCATCCCCACTCTCATCCCTAGCTCTGTAGCAGACCTGCTTGACCCTCTCCTCACTATCTCTCTCATTTCCAGGGGACTAAGCAGACTTGGGTGGAGCACTTTGCTCTTCTCCCTGCTGTGGCCCCCCTAAGCTCCTTCACCCCCATTCCTAAGTGTCAGTTCTAAATGCCCAGAAACACATTTTTACCTGAACCCCTAGTGTCCAAGCTTGTCAAGACTCTAGAATTTCCTATTAGGAAACACAGCCACCATATACTCTTAGAAACCAGTGTAGCTAGAGTTTTCCTGCCTGGCCCACAGTCAGGACAAATCTCTCTCACCTGCCAGTCCCAAAGCCGCTCAGACCCAACCAAGTAAACACAGAGACTTATATTGCTTACAAACTGTATGGCTGTGGCAGGCTTCTTGCTAACTGTTCTTACAGCTTAAATTAATGCATTTCTATAAATCTATACCTTGCCACGTGGCTTGTGGCTTCCCGGCATCTTCACATGCTTCTTGTCATGGTGGTGGCTGGCAGTCTCTCCCACCTTCCTGTTCTCTCAATTCTCCTCTCTGTTAGTCCCGCCTATACATCCTGCCTGGCCACTGGCCAATCAGTGTTTTATTTATTGACCAATCAGAGCAACAGATTTGACATACAGATCATCCCACAGCAAACCAGAGAAGAAACAGACACCAAGGAACAAAACGCTCACCCAACAAAGACAAGACCAGATATCAGCACCTAGAATTTTAATTTTCCCAACTGCAGATGTCTAGATGCCAGCATAAAAACACAATGATGATAGCTATGCCAATATGTATCCACTAGAGCTTAGCAACCCTACCAACAACAGGCCCAGAGTACTCCAACAGAGCTAAAGCACAAGGACAAGACCTTAAAACAGCCTTTATGAAGAGGATAGAGGTCCTTAAAGAGGAAATGAATAAATATTTTAAAGAAATCTATGAGAACACAAACAGTAGAAAGAAATGAATAAAACAGTTCAAGACCTAAAAGTGGAAGTAGAATCAATAAAGACAACCAAACCTGAAGGACAGTTGCAAGTGAGAAATTTAGGAACTCATACAGGAACCACAGAGAGAAGCCTCATCAACAGAAAACAAGGGATAGAAGAAAGAAACACAGACATTGAAGACACTACAGAAGAAATGGATACATTAGTCGAAGAAAATGTTAAATCTAAAAACAAACAAACAAACAAAAAAACAAGGAATCTGGAATACTATGGAAAGACCAAATCGGAGAATAATAGGAATTGAGCAAGGAGAAGACTCCCAGCTCAAAGGTGCAAAAAAATATTTTCAACAAAATCATAGAAGAAAATTTTCCTTCCCCAAAGAAGGAGATGTCTGTCAAGGTAAAAGAAGCATACAGAACACAAAATAAATTGGGCCAGAAAAGAAATTCCCCTTTGGCACATAATAATAAAAACACTGAAGTTAATAAAAAGGAATATTAAGAAGGAAAGGAAAAAAGACATATATAAAGGCAGACCTATTAGAATTACACCTGACTTCTCAATACAGACTCTAAAAGCCAGATGTGTTGGTGCAGATGTGCTAAAGATTCTAAGAGACCATAGATCCCAACCCAGACTACAACACCATGTAAAGCATTCAATCCCCACAGAGGGAAAAAACAAGACAGTCCATGATAAAAACCAGATAGATAGCAGTATCTATCTCCAAATCTAGGCCTGGAACAAGTGCTAGAGGGAAAATTCCAACCTAGGGACATCAACTACACCCAAGAAAACATGGGGAGTAAAAAAATCCCAGACCAGCAAATCTAATGAGGGGAAACACACACACACACACACACACACACACACACACACACACACACACACACACATACACACACACACACACACACACACACACACACACACACACACACACACTGCTACTACCACCACCAACAGCAACAGAACCACCAAAATAATAGAAATCAACAAATACTGCTTATTCATATTTCTCAACATCAATGGTTTAAATTCCCAGTAAAAGTACATTGACTAACAGAATGGATATGAAAACAGCATCTATCCTTCTGCTGCATCCAAAAAATACACCTTAACATCAGTGGTTAAAGGGTAAAAGAGTAGACAATGATATTTCAAGAAAATGGACCTAAGCAGCAATGGACTTTAGCTGGTTTAACAACTTTAATATCTGACAAAATTGACTTTAGAATAAAATGAATATGGATAGCTAAGGATGAATACTACATACCCATCAAAGGAACAATCCACCAATGGTGCATTGCAATTCTTAACATCTATACACTAAACACAAGTTTATCCAAGTTTGTAAAAGAAACACTACTATAGCTTAAATCACAGTTTGACTCCCACACATTGATAGTGGGAGACTTCCGTGTCCCACTTATATTAGTCAGGTCTCTCTTGAGTCACAAAACTTATGGAATGAGCATCTATCTATCTATGGGAACTTATTGGAATAACATAGAGGTGGCCATCCAATAATGGTTAGCTGTGAACGGAAAGTCCAAGAATCTAGTAGTTGCTCAGTCCCAGGAGGCTGAGTATCTCAGCTGGTCTTCATATGCTGGAATCCTAAAAAAGTAGGCTCCCATGCCAGTTAAGAAATGGATATGCTGACGAGGGGAGGGCAGACAGGCGAAAAATGAACTAAATCTTCCTTCTTCTATGTCTTTACATAGGTTTCCAGTAGAAGGTATAGCCCAGATTAAAGATGTGCCTTCCTGGCTCAAGGTCTGGATTAAAGGCGTATGTCATCTCATCATCCAATTTTAAGATCTAGATTAGAGGCAAGTTGTCTTTCTGCCTCAAGATCAGGATCACAACTCTGCTCTCCATTTCTGGATTATAGTTCATTTCAGATACAGTCAAGTTGACAACCAAGAATAGTCATCACAGTCCATCCCTTGTCAACTTGACACACAATCACACCTCCTTCTGTCATAATTAACTTCCAAATGAAAACAATAACCTGGTCATAACAATGCCTAAACATAACTATCATGTAGACAATCACAAATGCATTATATATTTAACCAGGTCATAATTAAGCCTAACATGATATAACTATCCATTGAACAACTGCAAATGCTTTATAAATTTCAAATAGGTGGCAATGTCCCTTGGGGGACAGCCTATTAGTATTCTTTTCATTGATATTACAACATATAATAAGGAAATTGAAAGAAAACACAAATATCTGTACAAGTACATTCTTTTTTGGAAGGAAAGGGTTTATTTGGCTTACACTTCACATTATCACAGTCCATTATTGAAGGACTCAGAGTAGGAACCTGGAGGTAGGTACTGAACAAGAAGCCATGGAGGAACACTTTTAATTGTGTTTTTTTTTTAATTTAACATAATTTCTTTATTGAATCTTTGGTAATTTCACATCATGCATCCAAATTCTGCTCAACTCCCAGTCCCTCCATATCCTCCCTTCACCCTTACAGCATCCTGCAAAAATAAAATTAAAAAAAAAATCAAAACAAAACAAAACTGGTGTGGATCACATGGCAACTATTACTGCCTGACAAAGTTCCATCATTTCAACATTGCTGACCACACTTCTGCAGTACCTTTTAAATTTTATTTTTAATGATTCTCAATATTAATATCTTTTTCTTTGGGAAATTTTGTGTGGCCTTTGGTAAAGAATGAAAATGTATACAATGGTAGCCTCTCTAAACAAAATAATAATTCTTTGGGAAAAAAAATCCTTGCCATCATGGAACCATGAATCCCATTGTGCCCTCCTAATTATATCAAGAATAGGAAAGTTAGAGATTTACTAGACACACCTGATCCCAAGGAGAAATGTCTACAATTCAGATTCAGAGCCTGAGGCCATTTAGGACAAGAGTTCAGTTCATAAATATAGGGAAATCAGAATGGTTCAGTTTAATGGGGAAAGAGTTAGGCATCAGGATCTTCCCTTTTGGGAGCATTATGAGGGGAGCATACCCATATACCAAGACTGAGAAATTGTACTATGGTATCTGGTCCGCAAGTAAGGCATTTGGATAAGGGTCTTCATTCTCTCCAGTGCTTGAGGAAAGTTTCTGTTTGCTAAAGCAATCATCCTCCTTATCTCTGGCAAAAGGAACTTGTGGCCATTTAACTAACATATGACTGGTACCTATTGCCAAGGTCAAGGTTACTCAAACCCTGATTTCAAGCCACACTCCAGCTCACATGCCCTCGGTGTATTCTTTTTTTTTTTTTTTTTTCAATTAAATTCTCCTGTCAGCCATCCTGATTCACCCTCAGATCCTGTCCTGTTTCCTCCCCCAACTCCACACATCCTCTTTGGGACCTGAACCCCTCTGCTGAAGCAGGTCTTCAGCACAAAACAAAATAAGCAAGCAAACAAAAAAGAAAACAAAACCAAAAACAAAATTTCTCTTCGATCCTCCATCTTTTCTGACTCTCCAACACCTCTTCATTTGTTCTGGTGGCATTGAGAACCATGATGTGTCACATAGTATACCCTTTTGTTAAATCAGCCATACATGCAAATGTTCATTGCAATGTGTCATAGGTTCAAGGCCTCTGGTTTCTGGTACACCAATATCACTAAATCCTCACCTAAACTCCCCTCAGATATCTCTTGGCTGCCTGGATTCATAGAAATCCTGTGGGTATCATTCCACAGAACCCACCCCTTCATGAGCATCCAGAGGTAGATGTTAAGGTAGACCAAGGCAAGGACTAGGCTGTGGGCCTGAGTGGTAGTTGAGCTGGACAGTCCTCCCTATGTCAATGTTGTCATGGTCAATTCTCCCTCACCCCTGTTGAGTGGTGGCACCATCTCTCCCAAGTGCCAGGGACAGCTCTTCCATGAGGGTTGGGACCAGCTTTCTTGTTGCAGTGTTCAGCAAGGTGCAGGACCAGCTATCCCAGGGCCAGTGAATGATGCGGCTGGCTCAGCATGACCCTCTGATTTTATCACTCATGGTCCCTATGGCCCCCTGAGGTGACTCGGACCACATACATCAATACAGACCACAGCTGCAACAGGATCATGGACCCAGACATGGCCCTTGGCATCAGCTTGGGCCCAGATGACATCCTGATTCTGGTGGAAGCACAGGCCACTCAGAACAGGATGGTTTTTCTGGCAATATGGCCCCCAGACACCAGTTGGTTGTGGCCCAACTCCAGGCTTTCCTGTAACCTTTGGTGGCAACATGGACCTTGGACCTCAACACAGACCCCAGTTGTGGTAGGACAATGAACCCAGACAGGGTCCTCAGCACCAGCTGGGCCTGGATATCACCATTACCCTGGGTGGCAGTGCAGTACAAATACATTCTTAACAAAATACAACAAAAGCACTCGTGTCTGTTGTCCTCATTTCTGCAACTGGTCACATGACCTTACATGGTATTTATATCTACCTTTCTCTACTACCCACATGTATTTCCTCTACTCTCTTCAAGTAACTTCAACAGGTCTTGGCTCTTCTTATGTAGTATTCATATCTTCATTCCTCATGGGTCTGTGAACTTTGTCATCCTGCCTAGATTAGGCTGTAGTAGCTTCCATTGACTTTAATCATAGGACATGGTGGCATCAAGAGATGCCCTAAAGATCACCTGTATTCCAGACATAATCCTTATCTCAGTGTGGAGAGGCAATTCAATTTCTACATGATAATCTACATATATCATCCCTCCTAACACTGTTTGTTGTTCTGTTCTTAGCCTGTTGGGTTAAGAGAGTTAAAAGCCCAAAGTGACTAAGGGGAAGTCTGAATTTCCAGTTCAATGGAATGTTTGTTATGACTCCTAGCAGGGGCACTCCCCGCTCCAGAACCAAAACTTCTAGGACAGTAGAACTTGGAGTTGTGGGAATAGGAAGAAAAAACTTTCCTAGTGGGTCACTAGGGGTGATGGGGAGAGGAACTATCCCCTTTCCACCTCTTAGTTCCTGGACCTGTGGATCCTGGCTATGGGAGAAACAATACCATATATTGGATGTTGATTCAAAGCATGTACTGGCTTCTGGAGTACCCTGCTCAAGCCCTCTATGCTGCTGACACCTAGTTGGCACTGTAACTGTGTCCACAAAAGGTCATTCCATCTTTCTATTGAGCCAGCTGCTTCAGGATTGTGGGGAAAATTGTAAGGCTAGTGGATTCCATAATCATGGGCCCATAGTCACACTGCTCTGATTATGAATTGAATTCCCTGGTCAGAAGCAATACTGTATGGAATACCGTTTCAATGGATAAGGCATTCTATAAGTCCATAAGTAGTTTTGGCAGAAACACTATGTGTAGGAAAGGCTAATCCATAACCAGTATCTACTCCAGGGCAAAGCATTGTCTTTTCCACAAAGGAAGTGGTCCAGTGTAGACAACCTGCCACCAACTTGCTGGTTGGTCATCCTGGGGAATGGTGCCATATCTGGGGCTCAGTGTTCGTCTCTGTTGTTGGAGGTTTTGGCACTCAGCAGCAGGTGTAGCCAAGTCAGCCTCGGTGTGTAGAAATCTATGTTGGGGAGCCCAGGCATAGCCCCCATCTCTGCCACCATGGCCACTTTGTTCATGGGCCCATTGGGCAATGACAGGAATGGCTGGAGAAAGAGGCTGACTGTCTACAGAATGGGTCATCCTATCTACTTTTTTATTAACTCCTCCTCACTTGAAGTACCTTTGGTCAGCATTTACATGGAACACAAGTATCTTCACATCCTTTGCCCATTTGGACAGATCTATCCACATACTTGTTCCCTCGATGTCTTTCTCACCAATTTTCCAATCATGCTCTTTCCATGTCCCTGACCATCCAGTGAATCCATTGGCTATAAGCCATGAATCAGTGAACAGTTGCACATCTGGCCATTTCTCTTTCCAAACAAACTGTATTACCACATGTAGTACCTAAAGTTCTACCCACTTTGAAGATTTCCCTTTACCAGTATCTTTCAGGGTTGTCTCAGAAATGGGTTGAAAGTCTATAGCTTTCTACTTCTGGGTAGTGCCTGCATAACATACAGCAGCATCAGTAAACCAGGCTCTAATCTTCTCTTCTTCAGTCAACTGATCATAGGAAACATTCTATGAGTGTAACAGGTCTTTCTTTGGACAGCCAGTGTTATGGAATAATCCTTTTGTACACTGTGAAGATGTGTCACTCTAATTGGCTTAATAAAAAGTTGAATGACCAATAGCTAGGAAGGATTTTCAGGGCAGAGAAGGTGCTGAGGAAAAGAAGAGAGTAACCAAGAGACACAGAGCAAGCAGGATGGGCAATACGAAGATAAGGTAATAAAGCCATGAGGCAGAAAGTAAATTAATTAAAATAGGTTAATTTAAGTTAGAAGAGCTAGTTAGAAATAAGTCTAAGCTATTGGATGAGCTCTCATAATTAATAATGTGTCCATGTTATTGTGGAACCAATGGTCCCAAGGAAAAAGTCCAACTACAAATGACATCCAACATGGGGGCACATATTTCCACGTAAGACCTGAGACAGCATAAGAAAAAAAAAGATTACAAACACACGAAAATGGAGCCAAACATGGCTTCCTAGTCCCACAGTCTTTCATACAACTGTGGTATAGAGAGGCATCTCCCAGCCGCTGCTTGCAGACTTAAGTCATCAGCATTCTATGAGCTAAGCTGGGCATGGCTTGAATTTTTCTCATGCAGACAGAAAAGGTTACAGATATGCAGTGAAGCAGGTTCAGACAGAAAATGCCTCTAAACAGGTTACAGTGCATTTATCAATATGAGTAGGCTAAAGGGTAGACAGTCATAAAAACTAGTGCAGAAATAATAAGGTAAAATCTTTAAAAAGAGAAGCAAAGTAATCCAAAAAAAGCCATGTAAGGGTGAAAAATTTTATAACACAGGAAGTTTGGACCTTATATGATACTTTATTAATTTTGAATTTTTTGAATGCTAATAAACACACAACAGCTGCCAAGAGACATTGGATTGTGGAAGGGACTGCTGAATTAAACCAACCTATATATTTTAAAAATGTCTCAACTTAAAAATGGAAGTCAAATAAAATGTATTATGTTTGGGAAGAGGTTATGCTTTTGTTTCCATAGGAAAAGAAAAGCTGTGGATTCCTTCCAGGTTAATAGAGATCAGATTTGACTTGGGAAGACCTCTTCAGTATCTTGGCTATAGACATAGGGGAGGAACCAAGAAAGACTACAGGATAGGTGATGGGTAAGCTGATCTCTCTACACAGGAACAGCTTGGAGACAAGATGATGTATGATGAATATTGTTAGCTACAGAGTCCTCATGACTAATTATCACATGCCATTCTTTCATATGGCATGGATAGAGATTTATATTACAGTTTGGTTATGCAGGCCAAATGAACTTATAAATTTGAGAGATGTCTTTAACCTTTTCAAACATAGAACAAAAAACATCTTTAATTGACTTGTGCACATTGTATATTCCATACTTGTGTTAATGCAGATATATATTTTTGAAAGTTTATGCATTTTCAGAGGAAGAGGACCACAACACCAATGAAAATGGGTGACCCAGAGGATCCAGTCTCCCAGAGTACCTCTGTTACAGATTCCTTAGAGTTCTACATCCAGAACAGCTTCAAAGACTGCTGACTGAGATGGTCACAGACTATTCCAGTCAGACTTAAGACAAGCCCTACATTTTCCTGCTGTACTGGGACTAGAAAACAGCTAGCTTTCCCAGGACTTGACCATTATCTTAATTTTTTTCAGGGTCCCTTAAAGATGTCAGCACCCCAAGACAACAGGAAGCAGTCTAGAGAACACAATGCCCATATACCCAAGAGGTAGGGTGGGTGGTTGTGGTCATTCAGTGTGATATGGATGTTTATCATCATTTGAGTTGGAGGTTACAAATTGTTACTTGTTATGGTCAGGGAGAAAGCTAAACAAAAGAGATTAGATTCAGAGATCTCTTTCTGAAGGGAAAAAGAGGGATATAGTATAGAAATGATGGGGTAAAGAACGGACTGTTGAATCTACTTTTAAACAACCAATAGTCTAAAATATTTTACATTGGCAAGGATTTTTATTTATTGATACAAATGTAAGTTTATTTCTGTTATACTGTATATATATATTTCTACTCTTGTTTAAGATATTTTTGTATATCAATACATATTTAAAGTTATTTTTGTTGGAACCCCCACCTGTCACTGCCCCAGTTGCTGGCCAGCAAGGAAGACTCCTGTGGGCAGGCTCTCCTATCAAAACCCCCTATCGGACCATGCAATCTACAAGATCTATGCCCTACCCAAAACCTACCCACCCTCCGGTGACTCTGGTGGCTTCCTGAGACACAGAATTTACCAGCATTCATTGGACCAAGAGTGGCTCCCTGAGACAAAGAATCTGCCAGCTCTCATTAGACCAAGAGCAGCTACCTGAGACACCAACACAGCTAGCACAAATTAGAACAAGAGAGCTCGCTCAGAAACAGGCACCTCTTGTACCTATTGGAGGAAGAGATGGGTAGGCAGACACCAGTGCAAAAATACATGAAATAACATAAAAAGCAATATGGCATCACCAGAACCTAGCCCTTCTACAACAGCAAGACCTGAACATCACAACATAGAAGAAGCAGAAGAAAGTAACCTTAAAAATAACTTTATGAAGATGATAGAGGTCTTTAAAGAGGAAATGAGAAGTTCTCTTAAAGAAATTGAGGAAAAGATAAACAAAAAATAGGAAAAAAAAATCAATACATCCCTTAAAGAAAGCCAAGAAAACCATGAAAAAGCAATTAAATTTGTGAGGGAAACAGTTCAAGACCTAAAAAGGGAAATAGAAACAATGAAGAAGACACAAACACAGGGAATGCTGGAAATAGAAAAACTGAGTAAATGAACAGGAACTACAGATGCAAGCATAATCAACAAAATATAAGAGATGGAAGAGAGAATCTCTGGCATAGAGGATAATAATAGAAGAAATAGATTCATTTGTCAAAGAAAGGACCAAAGCCAAAAATGTCACAAAACAAAATATCCAGGAAATCTGGTACATCATGAAAAGGTCAAACCTAAGAATGACAGGGATAGAAGAAGGAGAAGAATACTAACTCAAAGGCACAGAAAAATGTATTCAACAAAATCATGGAAGAAAACTTTCCCAACTTAAAGAAGGAAATGCCTATGAAGATACAAGAAGCTTATAGAACACCAAATAGACTAGACCCCCCAAAAAGTTCCCTCATCACATAATAATTAAACCACTAAACATACATGTGGTGGTATTTTACTTGTACTGAAATGTGATTTTAATTGTATGTTAATAAATAAAGTTGTCTGGGGGTCAGAGCTATTAGAGTCATAGCAAGTGCATGGCGGCGGTGGCGCACGCCTTTAAGGACCTGGAGGGCGGTACATTCAGGCAGTGACGAGGCAGTCACATGTTTGGGTTTACAACCAATGACAAGGCAGAACAGGAAGACTTTAAAGACAGACACACAGGAAGTAGGTCCTTTTCGGAGAGCTCTCTTGGCTGGAGAGGATCCCTGAATCAGGAAGGGTGAGGCTCTTAGCTCTGACCTCTTGGCTTTCTTCTCTGAATTGGCTCTGTGTTTCTTATTTTATAAGACCGTTGGTTACATCTACATTTGGCGCCCAACGTGACAAGAATCCATTAAAAACCGCTTAACTTGGCTTGGCGGCAGGTCCGGTCTCCCGCCAGGGCGGCCGGCAGGTCCGTTTCCGCCAGGGCTGCCGGCAGGTCCCATTTTCCGCCAGGGCGGCCGGCTCCCTAGCCTGGGCCCAGGTCGGCTTGGCCTCAGGCCAGACTAACTTTGAGCTACTTGCTTAAAGCCGGTGCTACAGACAATTCAGGCCTGCCCTGCCGAACAGGGCCCCTGCCTGTAAAGCCAACGCACGTGGTTGGAGCTTAAGGTAGCCAGAGCCAAGGCTTGACTAGGCTCAAGCGGGAACACGTGGCTGGATTCAAGTTCTTAGGCAGAACTTGTGGCTACGGTTCTTGCGTGTTCTCTCTCTCTCTCTCTCTCTCTCTCTCTCTCTCTCTCTCTGGATTCATACCTCGGACACTAGGAGGCTGTTTTGAAATTCCCTCGGATTGGTATTGTTCTACGAGGACTTGGTAAGTCACTTAACATATCAAATATTTTAAAGGAAACTATTTAAAAGAGAAATTTTTTCCACATTTTAAAAAAAATGGGTTTTCTGTGTTCATTGGAAGAAAATTGGGCTTTGTTTGCAATTTTAGACAGTCTGACAATGGAACAGCTATATGAGAAGATTAATGTTGACCGAATTATGCATTTTATTACTATGCTTATTCTCATTTTACTATTTAAAAAGATAGTCAATTTAAGTGCCAGGATGACAGCTTTAGAAAAACTTGTTAAACCTGTAAAAACTCAGACAGAACTAACAGTGAAGTTGCTTCAAGATTGGATCATAGGGTTACAGAAAGAAAGCCTGTGTTCACACAGTCACCCTTAGTTTGTCCAGTAACCATACAGCAGTTGCCTGATCAAATGACTACACAAAATATTTGGGCTCCAATTGAAATGTTAGATTTACGAAGGTTTAAGGAGGCAATAGTATCTTATGGCATGCATTCCCCATATGTAAAGCAAATGTTAAACTCTTGGTCAACATATAATAGGATTGTACCACAGGATTGGCGGGAGCTGGCACAAGCTGTTCTTGAACCCAGTCAAAGGCTTCAGTGGCTAACTTGGTTCAAGGATGAAGCTAAAAACATAGAAAAACAGTGGAGGGATAAAGGAATACAAGTCTGCCAGGATCAGCTTATTGGAGAAGGTCAATATGCTTCAGCACAAGCACAATGTTTATATGATGTCCAAACCCTAATTTTATGTCGAACAGCAGCCTTGAATGCATGGGACAGAGTTGAGGAACCAGGAAAAAAAACTGAGTCATTTACAAAGGTTGTACAAGGCCCAAAAGAATCTTTCACAGATTTTTTACAAAGACTGGCTTCAGCAGTAAAGAGAATGGTCCTGGATTCAGAAGCTAGTAAGATAATAATTGAGTCTTTGGCTTTTGAGAATGCGAATGCAGCATGCAAAACAATAATCAGGCCGTTAAAGGCAAGATCTGCACCTTTGGAAGATTGGATTAGAGACACGGTTAATGTTGAAGCTCATGAGCATGATGATACCTGGGTAGGAGAAGCAATTTCAAGAGGTTTGAGGAATGTTAGATGTTTTGGATGTGGAAAGCAAGGACATTTGAAAAGGGACTGTAAACAGGTCATTCCTAGAAACAATGTTTCTTCAAGGAAAAATGGCAACAGACTGCCCCTTCCTTCTGGAGTATGAAGAAGGTGTGGTAAGGGAAAACACTGGACCAACGAGTGTAGATCAACAAGGGACAGACAGGGTAATCCTTTGCCTCAGTCTTCGGGAAACTCCCAGAGGGGCCTCATGCAGGACCCAATAGCAAATCCAGTTCAAACCTTTCCTGCAGTCATAGAGGAAACCCCAACTCAGAGCAATTAAATAACCAAATGCCTATTGGAATAAGTCATGCTGGTCAGGATGATGAAACAGAGAGAATAGAAAATTCAGGAGAAAACATAAAGAAAATTTTTTGGCAAACTTCTATTAATGAACAAAGACCAAAATTATCGATAAAAATAAATGGTGTTTTGTTGTCTGGTCTGGTAGACACAGGTGTGGACGTTACCATAATTGCACCAGAATTTTGGCATCCAACTTGGCCTCTTCAGGAGGTAAACATTCAACTGTTAGGAATTGGGACATTATCTCAGGTGAAACAGAGTGCAAGATGGCTCGAATGTATAGGTCCAGAAGGACAGAGAGCAAAATTAAAACCATATGTGGCTAACATAGCTATGAATCTGTGGGGTCGAGACTTGTTACAACAATGGAATACTCAGATTAACATCCCTCCAATCTCAGAAACAAATCATAAACTAGCACATGTTTCTGAGAGAAATATTAGAAGGCATTATTCTGAGTGGTCACCAGCCATCCATATTATACAAGAACAGGGCACAACAACTGATGATCTTCCAAAGACATCAACAGCTCTACCTTTAAAATGGTTAACAGACAAGCCTGTATGGGTCCAGCAATGGCCTTTAACAACAGAGAAACTCCAGGCTTTAGAAGAGCTGGTAGAAGAACAGTTAAATGCTCAGCATATTGAAGAATCAACCAGCCCTTGGAATTCTCCTGTATTTGTTATTAAGAAGAAATCTGGTAAATGGAGAATGGTAACAGACCTTAGAGCAATTAACAAAGTAATTCAGCCAATGGGCTCTCTACAATCTGGAATTCCTTTGCCTACTCTGTTACCAAAAGGATGGCCTCTCATAGTTATTGATTTAAAAGACTGTTTCTTTTCAATACCCTTACAAGAAAAAGACAGAGAAAGATTTGCTTTCACAGTGCCTACTTACAATAATTCTCAACCGGTTAAAAGATTTCAATGGAGAGTCCTCCCACAGGGAATGTTGAATAGCCCAACTCTGTGCCAATATTTTGTACAACAGCCATTGGAAGTGATACGTAAAAAATTTCCTAAATCTATAATTTATCATTATATGGATGATATTTTACTAGCTGACTCAAATGCAGATACTTTAGAAAGAATGTTTGAAGAAGTAAAGAAAATTTTGCCTTGCTGGGGATTACAAATTGCTCCTGAAAAGATACAAAGAGGAGATTCTATTAATTATTTAGGATATAAAATAGAGCTACAAAAAATTAGACCCCAAAAGGTGCAAATTAGGAGAGATAGACTACAGACTCTTAATGACTTTCCAAGATTATTTGGAGATATTTCTCATCTAAGAACTATTGTTGGGGTAAAAAATGATGAACTGCATAATTTGTTCAAAACCTTAGAAGGTGACAAGGACTTAAATAGTCCAAGAGAATTATCACCTGAAGTTGAGAAAGAATTGGCCTTGGTAGAAAAGAAAGTACATGAAGGACACGTGGATCGTATTGATCCAAAGCTGGATTGCATTTTGGTTATTTTACCTTCTAGACATTCTCCTACAGGAATATTAATGCAGAGGGAAGATATTATATTAGAATGGATATTTTTACCAAATAAACCAAATAAAAAATTAAAAACTTATGTGGAAAAAATCTCTGACTTGATTTGGAAAGGAAAATTGAGACTTCGTCAATTAGCAGGAATAGACCCAGCAGAAATTGTCGTACCTTTAACTAAGGAGGATATTGAAAAATTATGGACAGAAAGTGAACCTTGGCAAAGAGCTTGCAGTAATTTTTTGGGAGAAATTAACAGCAAATATCCCAAAAGCGATAGAATTGATCTTATAAAGAGAGCTGATTGGATCTTGCCTCGAATTGTATGGGAAAAGCCCATATCTGGAGTTCGTACATTTTATACAGATGCCAACAAACAAGGAAAGGCAGGTTACAAATCAGAAAATTTAAGTAAAGTGGTTCAAAGTCCTTATAATTCAGTTCAAAAATCAGAATTGTATGCTATTCTGTTGGTATTAATGGATTTTTCAGAACCTCTCAACATAGTAACCGACTCTCAGTATGCTGAAAGAGTAGTATTACATATTGAAACTGCAGAATTTATCCCTGATGCTTCAGAATTAACTTCACTATTTATTCAATTACAAGATACAATCAGGAAAAGGAGGCATCCTTTATATATAACTCACATTCGATCCCATACTGGTCTGCCAGGCCCTCTAGCACAAGGCAATGATGAGATTGATAAATTATTGATAGGAAATGTGCTGGAGGCCTCAGAATTTCATAAAAAACATCATGTCAATAGTAAAGGTTTAAAAAAGGATTTTTCCATAACCTGGCAACAAGCCAAAGAAATAGTAAAGAAATGTCCTACTTGTTCCTTCTACAATCAAACGCCATTACCAGCTGGATGTAACCCAAAAGGTACTCAAAGGAATGAAATCTGGCAGATGGACGTGTTTCACTTTGCAGAATTTGGAAAACTGAAATATGTACACCACACTATCGATACTTATTCAGGATTTCAGTGGGCAACTGCTTTGAGTTCTGAAAAAGCTGATTCTGTAATCACTCATTTGCTCGAAGTTATGGCCATCATGGGTATACCTGCACAAATCAAAACTGATAATGCTCCATCATATGTCTCTATTAAAATGAAACAGTTTTTTGCTTATTACAATATAAAGCATATTACAGGCATACCACATAATCCTACAGGTCAAGCAATTGTAGAAAGATCAAACAGAACTCTAAAGGATATGCTAAATGAACAAAAAGGGGTAACAAAAACCCCCAGAAACAGACTGCATAATGCTCTATTAACTTTGA